GACTGAAATGTGCCATTCTATCCTAGCTGGACATAAATACTCAGAAAACTTTCTTTAGTACATGTCTTTAATTTTCTGAAATTAAATTTTAATGTCTGAAATTGTACAATGCCATCCTTCCTGCTTTATAAAACTACTATTTTAAAAATATCTTTTAGGTTAACAGATTTTCAAATGGGCATGTTGCTGACTGACTCCTATCTGACCGTCTTAATTTACGATGCAACCATAAATTAAGATAATGATTATAAATCATAGACCACACTGCTAACCACTCTAAAGATCATTGTATTCTACTTGCTCACAACAGAAGACATGGTCCTCTGTAATCCCCATTGTTGAATTATCTCTTTGAATAATAGATGATAATGTCAAAAATGAGCAATTGTGTGGATTCTTGCTCTATCATCATCATGCATATAATATAATTAGAGCAGCCTCGAGGAAAATCCATGCCCATTGGCCGAAAAAAAAAATGGATAGCAAATTGTGGGTACATTTACTCAATGGAATACATCTCAGTGGTAAAGAAATATTAACATCTTGAAAATAGCAGGCAAATGAATAAACTAGAAAAAACCTTGGGCGCATGGGGATGTGGGGGGGTGGATGTAAGGGGAGATGGGTAGAGAGAAGAGAGAAGGGGAGGATTCAGGAAAGCTTGGGGGAATGGATGGGTGGGATGGAGGAAGGGTGGATATGGGAACAGGGAAGTAAAAATCTTAACTGAGGGAGCCATTATAGGGTTTGCAAGAGACTTGACTCTAGAGGGGTTCCCAGGTCCAAGAAGAGGTCCCTAGATTGTTCCTTGGGCAGCAGAGGAGAGGGTGCCTGAACTGGCCTTGTCCCATAGCCACACTGATGAATATTTTGCATATCACCATAGAACCTTCATCTGGTGATGGATGGAGATAGAGACAGAGACCCACATTGGAGCACTGGACTTAGCTCCCAAGGTCCAAATGAAGAGTAGAAGAAGGGAGAACATGAGCAAGGAAGTCAGGACTATGCGGGGTGCATCCACCCACTGAGACGGTGGGACTAATCTAATAGGAGCTCACCAAGACCACCTGGACTGGCAGTGATGGTGCATGTGATCAAACTAGACACTCTGAATGTGGCTGGCAATGAAGACTGACTGAGAAGCCAAGGACAATGGCACTTGGTTTTGATTCTACTGCATTGACTGACTTTGTGGAAACCTGGTTTGTTTGGATGTTCACCTTTATAGACCTGGATGGAGTGGGGAGGACCTTGGACTTCCCACGGGCAGGGAACCCTGACTGCTCTCAGGACTAGAAAGGGAGGGGGAGGTAGGGAGGAGGAGGGGAAAGGGAGGTAGAGAGGTAGACATTTTTAATAAATAAATAAGTAAATAAATAAGAAATTTTAGAATAAAAAAAAAAGAAAAACCCATCTTGAGTGAAGTAACTCAGACCACAATGATGACCATGGTATGTACCTACCATAGGTGACCAAAAAACTATAAAGCAAAAAATAGGACACCTATAGCCCACAACTCCAGACAAGCTAAGTAACAACGTGAACATTAAGGGGAACAAGCATTCATCCACCTGAGATGGGTAAAAAAGCAAGATCTCTTGATAAAATTAGGAAAGTATATGTGCAGGGAGAAGGTACTGCAGAAGGGGAGGAGGAGAGGAAAGGAGAGGGAAGGAAAACTTGAAGGAACAGGGTTTTTGAGATTTGGGATGGACAGAATCAGAGAGCAAGGAAAAAGGTATCTTGATTGAGAAGGGAACTATTATAGGACTAGCAAAGTAGGAATAAGAGAAAATCTTAAGATTCCGCAAGGATGACCCTAGTGAAGAATCTAAAATTAGTGGAGAGTGTGCTTGAACAGTCCTTGCCTAGGAATCCATTTGATGATTATCTTAAATGGCATCAGATAACCTACACCCATAACTGGTGGAAGCAGATGCAGAGATCTGCATTCAATCACAGGGCTGAGCTCCCCAAACCACGTTGAAGTATTGGCAGAGGGACAACACATGCGATGAAACCGAGGCTGTAATAGGACTATCCACTGAAACACCTCACCTGAGCTAATGGGAGCCGAACAACTCTGGACTGACAGTGAGAGAACCAACAATGTACCAACTAGAGCTCAGAATATGGGTGACAGCTATTTGGCTGGGAAAGACTGTGGGCCACTGTCAGCTTGTTCTGGCCCTAGGGAACCCATTCTGTGAAATGCTAACTGGATACCTTGAAAACAAAATTAACATACAATAAAATATTGAAACTATTGTATGATCCTATGAAATAAAATAAATACCTAATTAAATTACCTGTGTTAGTGATGAGCCTTTGAAGGTACCAGGTGAACCGTACATAAAGAAAAAAATAATCTTTACATATTACTTAGTGTTAGTTAAATGTGATTTTGGATTTGATTCATTGCAAGTTGTAGACAGAAAAAAAATGAGTACAGGTATTTTACTCTTTTTTTTTGAAAGTAATTTTATTAAATTATAAAAAGTTTCCATTTACGCCCCTCCTCCCAACGCCCTCCCACTCCCCCCCTCCCTCTCCTCCTCCCTCTTTGTCCCCAAGGGCAGTCAGGGTCTCCTGCCCTGTGGGAAGTCCAAGTTCCTCCCCTCTCCCTCCAGGTCCAGGAAGGTGAGCATCCAAACAGACTGGATCCCAAAAATCCAGTATATGCAGAGGAAACCAGTCCCAGTGTCATTGTCAATGGCTTCTCAGAAAGACTGCAGGCCAGTCACATTCAGAAAATCCGGCCACATTCAGAGAATCTGGTTGGATCACATGCTCGTTCAGTCACGGTCCATCTGGCCTTTGTAAACTCTCATTAGATCCGACTCCTTGTATCAGTGGGTGATAGTATCCCTCACAGTCCTTCGTCATTTTCTTCCTCCTTCTGCTCCTCATTTGGATCTTGGGGGGCTCAGTTCGGTGCTCCAACGCGGGCCTCCATCTGTATCGTCATCCAACGCCAGATGAAGGATCTATGGTGATAAGCAAAATATTCATCAGTATGGTCACGGGTCAAGGCCAGTTCAGGCACCCCCTCCTCCGTCCAGAGAACAATCTGGGGATCTCTCCTTGGACCTGGGATCCCATATATAAGCAAGTTTCCTGTAAACTCTAAAATGACTCCCTTAGTTGAAATATATTCTTCCCTGATCCCACATTCATCCTTCCTCCCTTCCCCCCATCTCGGTCAGCCGAGCTTTCTCCATTCCTCCCCTACTCCCTTCTCTCTAACCCTCTCCCCTTCCAACAACCCTCCCACCCCCCCCCATGCACCCAAGGTTACCTGGGACTCTTGACGATTTCCTACCTCCTGGCGGATAGCTAAATAATCTTCATCAGGTTCGTCTTCTTATTTAGCTTCTCTAGGATCACGAATAATAGGCTCAAAGACCTTAAATTATGGTTAGAATCCACTTATGAGTGAATACATACCGTGTTCCTCTTTTTGGGTCTGGCTTACCTCACTCAGTAAAGCGTTTTCTATGTCCATCAAAATCCCATCAAACTTCTTCACAGACCTTGAGAGAACATTAATCAAGTTTATATGGAAAAACAAAAAACCCATGATGAAGGCGTAAGTCACAGACAATCCCACACCAGTTTGGAATTATGATTAATATAATGGTTATTTATTTAAAGGGGAAAAAACTTACAGATTACCGTCCCAGACAACAGCCCCTCCGCGCGAACAGGAAAGGAGTCCAGGGGCCGGAAACGGAGCCGGAAGACAAAGAGAGAGTGGAGGACAGCCGCTGCTTTTTTTAAAGGGAGAGACCACGCCCCAATGGGCTGGTAACTCAGCGGCGATTGGCTGAAGGAACTCCCACAGCACCATGATAGCCAAAACAATCTTATACAATAAAAGAACTTCTGGAGGCATTACCATCCCTGACTTCAAACTCTATTATAGAGCTACAGTATTGAAAACAGCTTGGTATTGGCATAAGAACAGAGAAGTCGACCTATGGAATCGAATAGAAGACCTGGATATTAACCCACAAACGTATGAACACCTAATTTTCGACAAGGGAGCTAAAGGTATACAATGGAAGAAGGAAAGCATCTTTAACAAATGGTGCTGGCATAACTGGATGTCAACCTGTAAAAAAATGAAAGTAGATCCATATCTATCACCATGCACAAAAATCAAGTCCAAATGGATTAAAGACATCAACATTAATCCGTCCACTTTGAACCTGATAGAAGAGAAAGTGGGAAGTAGTCTACAAGATTTAGGCACAGGAGGCCTCTTCCTAAGTAGGACCCCAGCAGCACAGACAATAAGAGAAACAATGAATAAATGGGATCTACTGAAACTGAGAAGCTTCTGTAAAGCAAAGGACACTGTCAGTAAGACAAAAAGGCTGCCTTCTGACTGGGAGAAGATCTTCACCAACCCCTCATCAGACAAAGGTCTGATCTCCAGAATATACAAAGAACTCAAGAAACTAGACACTAAAACTCTAATTAACCCAATTAAAAAATGGGGTACTGATCTGAACAGAGAATTCACAACAGATGAACTTTGAATGGCCAGAAGACACTTAAGGTCATGCTCAACCTCCTTAGCGATCAGGGAAATGCAAATCAAAACCACTTTGAGATACCATCTTACACCTGTCAGAATAGCTAAAGTTAAAAACACCAATGATAGCCTATGCTGGAGAGGATGTGGAGTGAGGGGAACACTCATCCATTGTTGGTGGGAATGCAAACTTGTGCAGGTATTTTACTCTTTACGAGGTTTTCTCTATTTCATGGGGAATGATTAAAGTCAGTGTTTTTACTCTTTGAAACTGTGCTGCTGTGATTACTTCATTTCACAGAATGGATGGGGCAGGCTGACTAAGAAATTGGACCTGCTCATCAAAACCATATTTTATGGCAATTGTAGATCACAGCCCAGCCTGAGGTAAGATATTGAGAATTAGCTGGTGAGGATACACTTCCATGTTTGTGATGTTGTTCTTCGGTTTTTAGACATGAGCATTCAGGATAAAATTACTACTCAGCAAGTGAAAAATGTAAGTATTAAATATAGATAATGTTATATATATATATATATATATATATATATATATATACATACATATTCTTTTCCTGAATAGATTTTAATCATAAATTTTGTCAAACACAGTAGGATGGCAATTTATGTCTCGATAATCAAATCAATAAAATGTAATTCAAAGGCTGTGTGTATTAAAAACTCAAGTACAGGATATGAAATATTCCTTTATACTGTGTGAATAAATGTTATTGTGATTGATTAAGTAAAGATCCTGACTGGATTGTATCTAGGCAGGATAATGTTAAGCTGATGAACCAGAAAAAGAAGCATCTGTGGTAAGGAGAGGAGTCTCAGTATCATGAGAAGCAGTTGGAAGGAAATGTACTTTCTATACTGAGAAAAGTTACCAATCCATATAACACACATAATACATGTGATTAATTTAAAATATACAGGTTTGGTAGTAATATGCCTGAGTTATTGGCTGAGTGTTTGTAATTTATGATAATTTTCAATGTGGTTATTATGAAACTGTATTTTGGGACACAAAACTCTGCCTACAAATGGCATTCTGACCTGGGGCACTAATTACTATATAACAAATAAAATATATTTAAAAGATTCTAAGCAATCAAAAAATCGAATCAAACTTGGCTTATGAATAACTTACCTTTGCTCATCTGAGATCCATGCTCATGGCAAAGAGAGGAATAGGTTTTTAAGAAAAGATTCTGAGCTGGTTGCTGGTGACTAACAGAAGTATGGCTCTATGAAGTGGCCCTGCATTCAAATACTTAAAAAGGTTTATTAACAATTGGGCTATATGCTGCTCAGTGTAAGCTTGGACCCAATAATGTCCCAGAGGTGCAGAGGTAATCATGGCTACCTGATATCTCAACCATGAATCTAGTCTCTCAGGAAAACAAGGGCAAAAAAACAGTCACAAATGTCATGCAACAACACGTGCTGTACTCTGAGCAGTGGTAAACTGCAAGCAACACAGGAGTTATGAGAAGATTGATCTCATCTGATCAAAGAACCATGCAGATGTTTAAGAAAGAAAGATGAAGGCAATAAAAACTTCTAAACAGACTGCTGTGTGTTTCTAAGCATACATGTACCAGTGTCTCTGCATATCTTTTATTTTTTATTTTATTTGTTTTTTTTTGGTTCTTTGTAAGTTTATTATTAAAATAAATGAGATAGGCTATAACCATCGTCCGTCTGGGGGCAGCTGGAGTGGCAGCTGCAGCCAGGAAAGGCGCGAGGCTACGCCGACTGGACGCAGAAGTAGTAGGTTTTTATTTCTTGTCAATTACAAGCATATTTTTAATGACTCCAGTAAAATTAAGCATCAAGTAAACAAAAGTGGAAAAGAACCTATACTTTTAACTTGTCTCACTAGTGCTTGAAGGTAGTTTAAAGGCTGCTTAAATTTTGTATGTAGTTGGATTTTTTTTTTTTTTTTTGGAGGCTGAAGGTATCCATCTGCTGACATTGAGGCCCAAGTTGAATTTGGATTGAAGTGGATTCTGAATACTTCTGTCTCTGCTGAAGAGAGAAGCTTTATAAGGAGTAAACAAGTTGAATAGAGAAAATAGTGATCAATAATAGGCATTTTAGTGGTCTTTTTAATGTTTTCTGCTGAGGAACACTTCAAGATTTATTGAAGCCCTCCAACCCCATTTTCCCGACTACACTCGCACACGCACGTTCACACTTTTTATTTGCCATAATCAACCGTCCAGACCCTGTAAAGATCTCTTTCAAGAACACACGTTTTCTCATAACTCACAACCCCACCAACGCTACTCTCAACAAATTCACAGAGGAACATAAGAAGTAGGGAGTGACAACTTTGGTTCGAGTTTGTAATGCTACATATGACAAGGCTCCAGTCGAAAAAGAAGGAATCCACTTTCTAGATTGGACCTCTGATAATGGAGCTCCACCCCCTAATCAAATAGTAGATGACTGGCTAAAGCTGTCAAAAACCAAATTTCGTGAAGAGCCAGATTGCTGTGTCGTAGTGCGTTGTGTGGCAGGATTGGGAAGGGTTCCTGTGCTAGTGGTACTTGCATTGATTGAAGGTGGAATGAAGTATGAAGATGCTGTTCAGTTTATAAGACAAAAAAGAAGGGGAGCATTCAATTCCAAACAGCTGCTTTTCTTGGAGAAATACCGACCTAAAATGCGATTACGCTTCAGAGATACCAACGGGCATTGCTCTGTTCAGTAGAAGTAGAGGAAGGCTTACTGGATCGTGGCATTAGAGGGAACTCTTGGTACCTGGAAATGTGAATCTGGAATCTTACCTGTGTCATCAAAGTAGTTCAATGCTCCTCAACTCCTAATGATTGAGAAGAAAGCAAACAATAAATCCCTCTGTAATACGAATAAAATGTTTAAGAAAAGAAAATAGAAAGGAAAAGGGATTAATTTAGTGAAAGAGGGTTTTGCTCCTAGTTTTGGAGTTTTGATCTCTGCCAGAATTGAAGTATTTCAAAATCTCCTGTGTTTTTAAAACTTTTTTTCAAAATGGTGTCTGAGGAAAATCAGCAGAATATTAACCAGTGTGGAGCCAGTTGTTGGGGAGCACACACTTCCATTATGCTTGGCACATAGGTCTCCTTGTGGGATTTGGGGAGGTGGATTTTTCCCATCTTCTCCCTTCCTTCCTGCCCCCTACACCTTATTCCACCTCCTGATACATGAAGATGGAATAGAAAGAAGCCTTGTTGCTGTAGATGAGTGTCAGGCAGCATTAAGTCCAAGTGAGAACTTTTAGAAGAAAAGAAAACAAACAACAACAACAACAACAAAAAAAAACAAAATAAAACAAAAAACACCATCCCCTTCCAAAAAAAAAATGAGTAAAGGACATCCTCACCAAATCCCATCCCACATCATCTCTTCCCAAATCAAGGCCTCTGATTTGGAGGCAGCATCATCTTGTACATTAAGCTGAGGTAGTTTCAAAACCCTACTATGTCAAGGCTAAGATAGAATCGCTATTTATGGAACTGTCTCCAAAAGTTATCTTTTAAAGGAAATAAATCCTGGTCCCCAACAATGTGTCTCTCAAATAGAGGTAGCTACAAATCGGTACCCACAAGTAGATGGCTTAGATTAGTAGAATATAGGCTTTTCAGCTGTTGGTGTAGATTTCATGATTTCCCAAGAGCTTGGTTCTGTTCTCTGTGGATTTTCCTTTCATGATCTTAAACTTCTCTTGCTCCTATTATCGCTCCTCATTTGGCATTTTCATTTCTCCTCTTACCATTGAAAATTGCCTTTCCTACCCAAGCTTTGGTACTATATTCAAATGTCTCAAAATTGATTTTATGGAGGATCTATTAATCTATTGGTGTTGTCTGAACTTTAAAGGCCCAAGTATCTTTTTGCATTCTAAGGTGATACTTTCAAAGCCAGAGAGGCTAAAAGTACACATCTATTTGCTTGGTCTGTTACTCCAACTTATAGAGCCTTAGTCTTTGTAAAAAGTCACCAAAGGGATATCTCTTTCCCTGTTTAACACTGGTATATGATTAAATTCTCTTCTCTGGTTCTTGAATCCTGACCCCAACAAATGATGAGTAGATACAATCCATAAGATACTATTTTTTGTACAATTTCCTTTAGATCACTCACACCTATAGGCTGCCATTTTTATTATTTGACTGCCTTAGGTTATTTTGTACCAGACTGCTTCTCAGAGGAAATAACTGAATAAACACATAAAACACTGGGTAAGTAATCCTTGATTTTGACCCATACTGGTGTGTCTTAATATTGTTATTTACCTTCTCTCTTTGCCTATCAGTTCCAAAAATTTAATAATTGTTTCAACTCTTATTATCACTGACTTTTATAAAGTATGAACCTCTAGTCTTGTGGGGTGTTCTACTGCCTCATTGATTCATTTAGATTCTGGTCCTTATTCTGAACTTATAATTCCAAGGTATGAAATTTCTACAGTAAAGTTAATGTCCCATCTTTTAATATTATTTGAATAGAGAGCATAGTGCATATTGCCTTCCTAGAGTGATATTTCATCTGATAACCTATTATAATTATTCAATAGATTCTGATTGTTAATTTCAACAGTATGAATTCTTTCAGATAATTTCTCAGCACTCCTCAACATAGATTGGAATTTTTCTGCTAAATTAATGCTATCCTTTTCAATAGTATTAATGTTTTCAGCAAGCTGTTTATTATTAGTCTGTAAAGATTGTATTATTTCTAAAAGTGACTCTCCTTGACTCTGTTATCAAACCATTTTCTTAGAGATATAATAAGAGAAACTAAGATATTTCCCAAAACCATACAAATGAATATATAAGGAAAATCACATAAACCTTGCAGAATAACATGCATAGTGTAAGCAAACTGTTTATTAAATTTTTGAACTGCAATATTATCAGTAATCATAAATTTTAAATTTTACAAATTATTTATCTGCACTAGGCAATTACAGTGAGTTGGAGTAGGTATAATAATTTTTATTGGACAGCAGGTGTCATCAGTTGTAACTGCTTGGCAGAAAACCTGAGCAGCCAGGGCTCCTGCATCTCCTTCAGAGATCCGTCCATGTTTTTGATTCATTCCTCCCTACCATGTAAGTGTATACTGTAGCAGAAAAAACAAAACTGTAAGTGGATGACAGGAAAAAATATTTAATTTTGTCACTAAATCCCACATCAAAAGGTAGAAGCATCCTTTGGGAACCATGGGGCAATCCCATACCTAGCAATGTATCTTTCTGTCCAGGTTACTTACATGAAAATGTCCCCCTATGCCTGGTATAACTGATTTTAATTCAGTGCTTACAATTGCGGTTTCTTGGTATGACATTCAGCAATTTCATGCCAGATTCTATAAATGAATTGATTAGGGAATATGACACTTGAAATTTTCAAGGAGACACAGATGGCTATGTGAGACTTCTTTCTGACACAGCCATTTTCTGAGGGGGACCCATATTGTGCAATTGATCAGTACATCTATGGATTCTGTCACTTATTGATTCCTGAAGTCAATTTTCCTTGCAGTTATTACAAAACCAAGATTTAGCCAGAATTCATTGATATAAAGCTTAAGCAGATTTAGAGACACAAGTATCTTTCCTGTACTGCAAACAGGAGCAGGAGACTCTTAGCAAAATAATTGAAAATCCCATAAAGTCCTTACCGTTCCTGGGTTTCTATTGCCTCTGTCAACTCCAGGCCTCTGGAACAGAATTTTTTGTCTAGGGTTATTTATAGCCATGCTTTAACTAGATCCAACTAAAAAGATAGATGTTAGCCAGCAGCATGACTTGCACAATGCTTCAGTAGAGACATTTTGTTTGTTCTCATTGCCTCCTGTTGGGAAAGATTGTGCATTAAATTATATATGCGTTAAGAATCAATATGTCCAGAAATCTAAAACCGGGTAATGGAAAGCACAGGTCTGCAGTTGACATGGAGATCACCACCAGAGCTGCTGATTCATCTTTTTTCCCTCCTCCCTGTGTGTGTTAAAAACATCAGGGCAATTGAAAGAAGAACACATGAGAAAATATTTTTATCACCTGTGCTCTTCCTCCCTGAGCAGGAGAAAACTATCTAATACTGCTGGTTAGCTGAGTGACTTTCAGACTACTTTTGCCTAGATTTGAGCTGTATACATGAAAACGTCCTTCTTCTCTGGACTTTTCTGATTGTGACTTTGGGCTGTCAAGTACATTGACTGCTGACTGTTTTTGAACTTTTCTTTCTGTAACTCTATGTACTTTTTATGTAGCTGAATTACAATATAAAACACCATATGTATAATACACATGGCGTATGTTTTGTATATATAATATATAATTATATTTTTATTGAGTTGAAAACAATATATAAAATATTTATGCTTACAAAATTACATATCAAAAATGATAACACTGAAGAAAGAAATTTTGATTTTAGCCTTCTTACAAATAGACCATTCTTGAATATAATAACACACTGTGATAAAGATAAAGCAATAAAATAAGATCAAATGATTTCATTAAAATTTTATATATATTTATGTTATCAAAAATTATGTTTGTTTGTTTAAAATGTCTTATATTTAATTTCACACATATTTTGCCTTTGTTATTTATGTTTTCCTTACTCTGATGGAATTTCTATTCATTAAATATATTCTTTATATTAATAGAAAAATATATTTTGGAGAAATCCACCACATTTCAATTTTAAAACTACTCTCCAATTTTCAAAATCAAAAGCATAAAGCTACTCATCATCACGGCTTACAAGAGATTTATATCTTTGCATTGGAGTGCTTGATTTTAAAATAATCAAACAGCTACAAAACACAGAAACAGAAAAAGAGTGGGAGAATTCAAAAATAATTTGTTAAGGAAAAATACAAGATCTGAAGTACGACCAAAACAAAAAAATCATTAAATATTCTGATAAATGAAGGCTTCATGAATAAGCAGCATTGTATGTAATGCTGTTGGTAAGCATGTTGGTAAACATTCACTGAAGTGTTAAACATTCGCTATAATTGTCATTAAAACCATCATTTTACAACAATATTACTCAAGTTCACATTTGGTAAGAAAGGAAAGAAACTGTAGTGTTTCTTCCAATTACACCTGATCAATACACAAAACTCACTTTTATTCTTGGACTCAGAATATATTGTATACAATGGTTAGTTTCAATTTAGTATCACTAAGATAATAGCTTCTGCCAACAACTTATTCTTCTTAGACATGACTAGAACAAATCATACCATTTTTCCTGTTGGTTCCACCGAGTTCAACATGGAAAAGTGATGTTCCTGGCCTCTGAGTGCTTTTCTCTCATATTCAGATTCTAACTTGGGTCTGTGATGCCATTAAGTTGTAGCTCTCTACTCACAAACCCCATTTAATACTCCATAGCAAGACCACCAGAAAGAGTCAGAGTTCTTCATGCAACTATCATGGACCACGTAGCTTTCATAAAGGAGTCTCCCAGTTTTTGCTGTTACCACTGAATCAGAAAGCCTTCTCTTAAAAGAATTGTGTCACTGCTTGCTTCTAGCAGACAAAGCCCACCTGACAAAATGCTGTTACCAAAAATCATGTTTAAGTCTGTCTTTGTGTATCTAGAATTCCTTTTTTAAGCTCTGTCACATTTATGTCGATATAGTTGACTATGTTGTTAATTCATTTCACAACCACCTGTACTCAAAATAATAACCAAGACAGTATATATTTTGCAATGCTCTTTGGCTAATAGCTTAAGTGTATTGCTAGCTAGCTCTTATATCTTACAATAACCCATCTCCTGTAACCTGTGCATCACCATGAGGTCATGGCCTACATGCAAAATTTAGGCTGGCTTAAGTGGAGATGTCTTTCTCTGGAGGCAGCTACA